AATTAATTTAATTATTAATTTAAAGAAATATGATAGTTTTAGTTTATATTCTAAGAATCAATAAATTAACATTATATTTTAATTATTATTCATTAAATTAATGGGAAGTATTTAGATTTTATTTATAAAATGTAAATAAATATCACATTTATTTTATATAAAATCAATAAGTTATTGTAATTAGAATTTTTAATTTAAATATGAATATAATATATTTAATATGAAGATATTAATTATAATTTCACTTCTTCTTTTTCTTTTTAGGTCTTTACATGACAACACTTTCTAAAGGAAGAGGCATTCTTAATCCATCATCTTTTGGATCTGTCATTTTATTTATTGTGCGTACAATATTGACTTTTGGATATTCATTTCTTTTTTCCTACAAGAATGCATCTGATATTTCAGGAGTAAAATTAATTGAAATAATCTGAAGATTTGGTAATGCCTTTTTAATTAATAAATTAATAATACTTTGAGTATACCTTCCAATCCTTATTCTCCTAATTTACTACAATTATTTAATTCAAGCATTTCAAGTTTATTACATGATTATGCAATATAAATTAATGTATTATCAGCAAGATATTAGATTCCTCCTAATTTTAGTTATTTTAGTTTATGTAATGAACTTAATCTACCTACTGAAGAATCACTAATATTAGTAGATCCAGAGAGTATAAGAGTATGAATATTTGAACAAAGGGATGTTGCTGAAATAACTTAATCACTAATGTCTTTAGTAGGAATGAAAGATAAATCTAAATATTCCATTTCAGCTTTTGAACGTGATATTAGATCAGATAATAAATCAGCTTATAAATTTTCTACTGTTGCTATTTATAGTTCTTATAATCTACATCCACTTTAAAGTAAATATTTAGTAAAGTTGCTTGTTAAATTATTACAAAATGAAATGTTAATTTTTTATAATAATGGAGCATTTTATAATGGTTCTAATGAATAATCAGTAATTGATTATAAATTGCTTGCACATTTAAAACCTTATAAATATTTTGAAGTGTAATCCAAAAAGTTTCTAATTCCAGTTTCAGTTAATTTTGGACATGATGAAACATCAATAACTTTTAAATTTTTACATGATTTTGCTAATTCCATTAATATATCATCTTCTAAATCTGTGTTAGATAATATTAATTCTTCAAGATTAATAGCAAAGTATCCAATTTTACTTATTTGTTCCATCTTCAACCATGTATGATTATGCAAATTCAAGAATCTTAATTTAGGATTTAATGCTTCTTATAGATTCTATTCAGAAAGTATTGAATTTGGCAATTTCTATATTTTAATTAATTTATTATACCTTTAAATGTCTAATATCTTCATTTTCATATGATTAATTATAAACAACATCACCAACTTGACGAATGGTTCGAGTAAAGTTTTCATTTTATTCTTATTTAAATTGACTATTTATTGGTTTAATATTCAAATAAGGATCATAGTCTTTATAAGTTTGATTATAAATAAGGGCTTTTGATTCAGGCTTTGCAGTTGTTAATTATTTAAGTGTCTTCTTATATCCTGGAGGAGGGACACCAATATCTTCAGAAATTACAGCTTCTTTTGTTAGCTAATAATTTGTAAATGGCTTTATTAGTTGATTATTTTATTATTCCTAATATAAATATACTAGTAGTACTTTTTTACGTTTCTAATAGAGAAAATCAAGATTGTCATCATATTCTTTTGGTTTTGGCTTAGGCATAAATTAAGGATTTTAAAGGACACGAGGGTAATTCATGGAACACCAACCAATTAGACTACTATGCTAATTGAAAGCAGGAAACTAAACACGTTCTATGTTTTTATTGACAGTTTCCTTTATAGAGAACTCTTTATCATTTTTCATTTAATAAATTAATCAGACTGTTATATTCTAAATTAAACTTGGGAAATCGTTGTAGTTTCTATTAAACACTTGAATAACTTCTGTTAGGATGTCACTTTATTAAGTTCTAGATTTTAAATAATACAATATACCTAATCTTAGTAGCCTCAACATATCCATTATGATAATCAACACAAGTTCTTTCCCAATCATCCTTTTGTTTTTTTAGAAGAGTAGATTTCTAGATTTATATTAATTAATTATCTTACTTCAGTATTGAATCTAATATCATTATTTAATTCAAGTATGGTTTGATTGATTATTAAGACTCTAGCTCTAAATGTCGCAATAGTAGCTTATAATCTTCTATTTTAAATAACTATTCTTTCTTTTTAGTTTTAATAGTCTTATTCTCTTGCATTATCTTCCAATAATTCCTTTTTCAAAAGATCAAATATGCTTTCAATTAATTCATCTATTATCTCTTAAATTTTTGCTACTCCTTATTAATTGGCTTAAATTCCAGGATCTCTAATGAATGATATTTAGAATTTTACTGTGAAGTTTCTAAAAGTAATTCATACAATAATCCAATTCCATTTGATTATTTTTTTAAAGACTTTTAATGTGCTTCTAATTCATTAAACATAAATTATGAAAATTCAAGGAATGAATATGTTCCAGCCAATGGATCCCATTTCTTTGTACTTAATTTACTAATTATTCTTTTTCCTTCTTGTAATGCTCCTATCATATTAGTTAATTCATCTCTTCTTTATTCATATTATTACTATAATAATTTAAAATATATATATTAATACTCTTGTTAAATCTCTTTAATCTGTTAATTCAGCAATACGTTAATTATTTCTATCTTCAATTTCTTATTTATCCAATAATTATCTCTATTTATTTTTTTATTCTTATATGAATAGTGGCAATGTTTATTAATCTTTGGCTAATTAATATTCTGATGAATCTATAACAAATAATATTTCATCATATTTGTCATCACAGAATTATGTGTGATCTCTTGATTTCTATCTCTCAACATCTTATTCACCATTAATTCTATCTTTCATTTAAGTGAGGAGTTCAATTATTTTATCTACACTGCTGTTTCCTTCCAATTAAACTTAAATTGTTTGAATTATAGTCTTTCCAAATTCACTTTTTTATAGAGATTACAACAGTGTTTCGCTCTCACTCATACTACTTGCAAATATTACAAGTGAACATAATAATATAACCTTATACATTATTATTAATTATTAAAACGGATATGTGGTATAATGTATATTTTTCATTTATATTTCATTATTTAATCTACTTAGATACCTTCATTAAACATAAATATAGATAAAAACATTTAATATCTTTAAATTAATGCTTTAATCTACATTAATATATATCATTTCTTTAGGACAAGAGACAATATAAAATTAATTTAAATGGAAAGTCTTATTCATTTTCAAATGATTTTTAATTCTTAATTTTTAAATTATTATAAAAAAATGTATAAATAATTTTCTTTAAGCTTTATTAATCTTTATTACATAGAATTATAATTATAATTATAATTGTATCATCAATATATTGAATTGCTTTTACATTTAAGTAAAGGTTTAATTGTTTTTAAATTATAATTTAATTAAAATTAGTCATTATATTTAATAGATCTAATCATTAATTGAATAGATAAGTTAATTTAAAGTATATATTTAGATTACAATTATTATTATATATAAGTATTTTAATAATTGCTTAATAACAAAATTATAAAATAATCATAAATGATAATCTAAATTTATTAGCAACCTAATACTTTATAACAATAATAAAGTAAATATATAGGATTAAAAAATTATATGAAAAGAAATTATCTAATTGATATTTTAAACTTGGTAATCATTCTTATTTTACCTTCTTCTTCTTTGTAGAATTGTTCTTCTTGACAAATGCTCTTAAGACTCCAACCTTTTCATTTTTATGTTCATTAAAATTAAATCCGAATTTTCTTCCATATCGAATCTGTAGTAAATAATCATCTAAACTCTTTTTGGAGATACTAACTTTATGAGCAGCTTCTTCAAGAGTAAATCGCTTACTCTCACCATCTACTGTTATACCCTTAAATATATTGATAAAAATATTACATTATAATATTCCCTCCATTTTTAAACTTTCTCTATGATATATCCTATTCTCCTCTCTTTTGTTCTTCTACATTATTTCTAATTTTCCTATCCTTAATTTTACTGTTATTATTATTATTCATTTCCTTCCTATTCTTTCATTTTATTAACTTTTTCATTCATTTCTTCAGACATTACTAAGTGAATTAGTGAAATTCCTGTCTAAATGCATTTAATTCGTAATTAATTTGATTATTAAATTTCATTTAATGGCATAACATAAGAATAATGTACTGGATCCAATCCACAATTTATATACATTTCGCAATCAAAACTATAATAAGAAATTGTTCGTCCTTCCAATTAAATTCCAAATTCTTTAAGTTTGCTTGTCAATTTGAAAATATTTATTCCATTGGGCTATTAAATTTTACTCAAATCAAACTGTGGAAAGTATTCAATGTAATTCTAATTTGAATCCCTTACATCTATTAATTCAACATATAGTTTGACCTATAGAAAAAAAAGAATTATTCTAAATATTACTGTTATTGATTCAATATCGATTTCACGACTAGTTGTTGAATTCTCTTCACTATTGTTATCTGACATCCTTGAATATTTAAATTAATATATTTTATTATTAAAGATTAATGTGACTATTTTTTATTTTATCATGCTTTAAAAATATATTCTTTTATATTTTTGTAAGATAAGAGCTCTATTGATTCTTTTTATTCAATATTTTTGGATAATTTTTTTACATTAAAACAAAAAAATAAATAATAATGGATTGAGTTTATATAAATGAATTATGAATAATATCATTAATATTGTTTCATATTATCATATGTAATTATTCTTAATTAAATATTTATTATATTATTTATTATTTAAAAACTTGTTTATAATATATATATATAAATTGAATAATCAATTAATTAAATAGTATGAAATAATGTGATGATTTATATGATGAATAATACTAATAAATTAAATATATAAAAATAATGAATAATATTGAAATCGAAAATGATAGACAAAATTCTCACTGTATATATGGAATTACCGTAAAGACCCCAAAAGATAGTGAAATATCTATACAATTAATGTAAAAAGTTATTGAATCCTTGAATAATTAGAACAATGCAATGTACATTATTTCAGTTAATTATAGATTGGAACATGTTAATGGTAATGGAAGAATATTATCATTATTATGTTCATCTTTAGCTTGGCAAGAACATTAAAAAATAAAAAACTAAAATTTTTATAAATTATAAAAGAGAATTGTTTATGCATCACAATATAATTTGAAATATTTAGAAAATTAATTAAAGAAAACTGATTATAAGCCTAAAATTACTTATTTTCAGTAAGAAGATAACATTGAAAATCAAAATGAAGATCAACTAATAATTATTTAAAATGGTAATTTGTTAAATACAGATTTAACTATTTTTTAAAATTCAATAATGATTCTTGATGATTTTGATTAGGTATAAGACATTAGAATATTTGAAAAAATATAAAATATTACAATTGAAATAGCTGTAAATGAATTGGATGAATTAATAACATAATTATAAATGAAAAATAAAGAGGATTAACAATAATATTTATTGGACCTTGATTTGGAATCGATAAAATTCGTTTAAGAGTCAATTTAGTATTTATTGAAGAAATTACATTAAATTCCAGATGATAAAATTGAAGATCAGGATTTAATTTATTATTTCCTTTAAATATTTCTTTTAAACAACAATCGTAGTTATAGATATGATGAATCTGCTGTTTTTGATAAATATTTGAAAACATGTGAAAAAATTTCAAAGCTTCCAAATAAAAAATAATTTTCTCTTTGGTTTAAATTTATAAAATAAGCAATTTTTTGCTACATAGAGTAATAAAAATACTACAATAATAATTTTTCAATTAAAATAACTAATAAAAATATTACAATTTTGGTTAAATATTACTTATAATATTTTTTGGATACAATAAAAAGATTAAAATTTCATTCCATTATAATATCATCTAATACTTTTTTTCCAACTCCGCATCATGATAGTTTAAACTCATTTTAAACAAAACTTAAAATAGAAAAAAGTCAATATTTTCAAACATTATTCTTTTAACCACCAAGATTTTCTGAACAATATTAACCTAATCTTATATTTTAAATTCTTTTTGAGAATTTGGAAAGTATTATAAATTGTACATCTAAGGGAGTTTTGCTTATTTTTTCTAGTTTTAAGAAGATAAAATAATTTAAATCATTTTGTAAAAAAAAAAAATCTGATTTTTTTGATTAAATTGGAAAATATAAAAAATTGTTTTGGGGACTCGAGAAAAATTAAATGTAAGATTACATATAATGTTCAAAAAATGGAGCTATTTTATTTGATAGTTATTAAAGAGTTTTTAATAGAAGCTTTCATTTTCCAGGTCCTCCTTGTTAATTGTTAATATTAGTTGAATTGAAAACTATCAATTATCACAGGTATGATTAATAATAGTATGAAAATGATGAAATGTATTATCGAAACAGATGTTTTAATACAATAGTAGGAAGATCTTTGCTTAATGAAAATGATTAAGGGTACTTTTATATTTTTATTATAGGGTGTTATTAATATTCACTTAACATAGATAAATATATTAGTGGAAATAATGTTTAGAGGATGTTTTCCCATATTCATGCACCATAAATGAATGTGAATAAGAATTAAAAAAATTAATATCGAATGATTACTATTCTTAGAATGATGTAATGTCAATAAAATACTATTTTAAAAAATGGTTTTTGAAATATCCACAAAAGTATAAAAAAGAGGCAAAAAAGAAGAGTCTAAAGTTTTGGAATAAATATTAAAAAAAATAATTATTAATAAAATCATAAAAAATTAAAAAGTAAAAAAATGAAAATAAATAAACTAAAAGAAAAAAGTAATAAAATAAGAAAAAGTAAAGATACATCAAAAATAATGAATGTTAAGATTAGATGAATTAACTTAAATAATAAGGTAAGAAAAAGAAGAAAGAGAGTAAGAATAATAATGAGAAAGATAAAACTCCAAAAAAGAATAAGAAAGATGTAGATCCAAAAAATGAAAATAAATAACAATAATAATAGTAATAATAATAATAGTAATAATAATAGTAAAAAGGCCCTCATAAAAGCAAAACTATTGATTAATTTTTCAAAAGAAAAGATCCAAGTATTCAATAATCTGCTAAAAAAAATAGTGAGAAACAATCTTAGATTTGAAAGAATATATTTTTTATTAAAATATAATAATTTTTGTTTTTGGGGATGTAGAATCCTAAAATAAATTGATTATATATAAATAAAAATAAAATGTCGGTGAACTAAATAATTGAATAGGTGCTTCAAAATATGATCGACATTGATAATCCAGACTTTAGGCTTTCTAAACAATAGAATATTTTAGAACTGATAGAAAGAGATGAATTATTGGTAATGGAACGGTTGTGGCCTTAAAGAAGAGTGAATATGGTTGAGTTTATAAAGATAATGATATCAGTGGTGCATCATAAATAATGTGAGTTATTGTATTTAGTGATGGGTTTAATTGAGTTATTTAAAGACATAGTGGCAGCTTGTTAATAAAATGAATTGTCATTATCGGATGTAACAAGTTATGTATGTTAAGTGGAACCAATAACTAACAACATAGTACCATAAATGTTAATACCTGAACCAAAGAAGTTTGAATTAAACAAGACTAGAATTAGAGATATAGATGTGGTATTTTATAGAGTTTTATTTTAGAATGCTCCTCGAATCATAGGATAAGCAGATGGTGAAATATGTCATATTGTAAATGGTTCATTAATAAATGATGCAATCAGACATCATAATAACAATGTACATACAGGACAAGTATGTATGAAATAGATTGTAACATTGGATAGTTTAGATTCTAAATTAAATATATATAATTTAGATGGTACTTTAAAGAATTAAGTAAAAATTAATTAGAGTGAAGATAAGGAAATAATAATATTGAGTTTTGCATGGTCTGATAGATAATAGAGAGTAATATTTATATATAATATAATAGATTGGATTAACATTGAAATCTCATTCATTATGTATGTATGAAAATGATTTTAAGACATACAGAATATTTCCAACAGTATATGCTTCATAAGATTATTAAACTAACATTTGGTATCTTGAAAATTAGAATAAATGGATTACTACTGATGCTACATTTAAATTATATGAATGGGATTTGTAAGCAGAAAATGTAGCTAATATATATTCAACAAATAAGATTACAGGGTGTATTATAGATTGTGTTGAGGTAGTACATATGAAAATGATTGCCACTGCTTCTTTAGATAAATAAGTGGTTGTATGGGATCTCAATACAAAAGATATTAAAATAGTTGTATCTTTAAAAGAACATGGAGGAATTCATAGTTTAGTTTATTCCTATTATTATCAAATATTTGTCACTTGTGGATATTCAACATATATAAATGTTTATGAAATCAATCCTAAATTTCATGATGTAACAATGATTGGAAAATTAAGTGGACATACATCTATGTTAACTTCTATTTAGATGATTGGTAAAAGTCCTGTATTAATTTCTGGAGATGATGGTGGTACATTAAGATTATGGGATATTAGAACATTCTCATGTTTATAATCATTAAATTTTGGAAGAAAAACCTAAATTACTAAAATTTTAGATTTATCAGATTAATAAATGATATGTTTTTTAGGATCTAGAGTTAATTTACTTAAATTAGATATTCGAAAGAAAGATCAATCAGATAATTATGTTATTAAAATTGATTTTGATCCTTAAAGAGATGAATTAATAGTTGCTTCTAAAAAGAATATTATATTTATGGATATTTATACTGGTAGAATGAAAAGAATTCTTAATGGATTATTAAATGAATTAGAAGATGAAATTACATAATTTAGACCACTTAATTATTATAATAAATTTATATTATCAGATTCTAAAGGTAATCTTAAAATTTATTATCATACTGGAGAATACTTTGCATCACTTAAAGGACATTCAGATGTAATATAATTAAAATTAGATATTCTTAATAAACTCATTATTACATGTGGACATGATAGTGTTCTTATTCAAAAAATGAATGCTGAAATATTAAGAGAAATTACTCCTTTTAAATCATAATAAATAGAAATATCTGTTCATCATTCTCTATTATTGGCATCATATATGAATCATCTCTACATTTTTGATTATGAATTCATCAAATGTCTAAGTTTTCTCGAATTTGATGGAGATATTACATCCATTATATTTATTGCTAATTATCCTCTTTTTGGAGTATCAACTATAACTGGTAAACTTTATATTATGAAATTTGTTGTAAAAGATCATATTGAAGTTAAAACAACTATATATTAAATTTATGAAGTATCTAATTGTTCAAATTATGTTACTGAAGAAGGAGAATAAGAATTTATTACTAAACTTGTATTAAGTGTTAAGGAATTAGAATTAGCTATGGCTACAAGTGAAAATAATATTATCAGATTATAACTTAATATAACACTAGAACCAACTGAACCTGTCCATGAAAGAATTAATTATAATCCTCTTAGAAAAGCCAAAGAATAAGTCTTAATTAATGATCCTATTCTTATCTAATCATCTGAAAGTATTTAAAAACTTAAACATATTGTTACATTTAATGCTTCAAAAAAATAAATTACTAGTTTGTCTTATTTATAATTAGATGAGAGATTTCTATTAATTACATCAATTGATGGAATTATTAAGATATTTGATTTGAATGGAGAATTGATAGCTGCATATAATATAAATCATCCATTACCAATTAAATGGGATGTTAAATATACTAAACAATCTGAACTTAAAAAAAGAATTATATATGGATTTAAAGTTATTGATATTTTAAGAAAATAATCTAAAACAGAAAAAGAAGCTGAAATATATAGTCTAACAGATTCATTATAAGTTAATAGATAGAATTCATTTTCTTTATAAAATTTAAATAAAAAACCATTAATAATGAAAGATGAATTTAGTCCAAGAGATTTAAAATTTGATAAGATTAGACATTTATATTAAAATGAAGTTCAAGGTCCAACACTTAAATAAATGGAGGCATAAAGAAGATTATAAGAAGTCTAAAATATGTTTAAAAATGATGTTAGAGATCCTAAATTAGATGAAATGTTGAAATTAAGAGAAAAAGAAAGATAAAAAAATATAGATAGATAAGCTAATCTTAATTTCTTAGATCCTGAATTTAGAGATAAGAGTATATTGAATCAAAAATTGTTAAGTAAAAATGATTATCTAAAAGAATTTAATACTAAACTTGAAAATAATGATTAAACTTCTATTATACAAAGATAATACTAATCTAATTAAAATTAATAATCTTAAGTTAATATTTAGAATTAAACAAAAAAAAAATAGAACTCATCATCAGATTTTTATAAATATGCAGCATCAAGACATTTATTAAATGATGCAAGTATCTTAGAATCATTCACTTCCTAAAATACTCAATTAAAACCAATCAATAAATAATTAATTAATATTTAATCAACTTAAATATCTTAATTGAAATCTTTTGGATCTTAAGATTTAACATGGCATGGATAACATAGAAAATAATAAAAAGATTTATCATAGGTTTTAACAAGTCTTAATATTAAATTGAGACAAAGTAAGAATTCTTTAGGAGGAGAAACAATATTAAGAGATATTACTAAATCAGATATCACATTTGAAGATTAATTAGATGAATTCACAAAAAAACATAAACTAAAATGATTGTAAAAGTGATAACAATTTGTTTTTTTTTATTAATATAAAATATATATCAGTTATAATGTAAACTTGAATGTTTTTTGATAATTGATTTAACTTTATTATCAATAGGATTTTTTTTAGTCTAATTTTAACTATTTTATGTATTAAGATTTTATTGTATTTTGAGTACTGGAACCTTATTTATGGAATGTATAGATGATGTTTTCGTTTTCATAACAGATTATCTATTATTATTATATTATGAATAATTAATGTTCTTAATTAGATTATTACTTTGTTATAAATCTTATTATTATTATTATTATTATTATTATGGTTAATTCTTTAATAGTATTTTATCACGATGAGTATCTTCATCATCCCAATCATATATGTATTCTATTCTTAATTAATTTTCTTTCATTATAGACATGAATAGATTTTTTAAATAATTGTAATCTGGATTTTCATCAAATTTAAGATTCTTAGTATATTCAATATAATGTAATAATTATTTGGGATGATTCTTACATAAAGTTTCACTTGATGTAGCTAATTTCTTTTCCATAATTCTATCATATTTATCTTTTTAAGTATTAGCTCTTAAATTTTACCATGGTAATGTACCTCTTAAGAAGTACATTATTACATATCCAAGAGATTCTAAATCATCTCTTCTAGATTATTCAATCCCTAAATGAGTATTAATAGAAGCATATCTAGCAGTTCCAGTTAAAGCTTTATTATCTTTATAGGGAATATGAGTATCTTTATTGATATACTTTTTAGCCAATCCATAATCAACTATGTAGACTCTGTCTTTATGTGATTTACCCAATAAAAAATTATCTGGTTTTATGTCTCTGTGTAAGAATTATTTACTATGTAAAAATTCAATACATTCTAACATTTAGAGTGCTAGTACAGTAACTGATTGTAATGAAAAGATGCGATTATTGTCTGTAAAAATGTCTTCAAGACTTTTGCCTAACTGTTCCATTACTAAGAAATTATATGAATCTTATTAGTAATATCCATAATATTTTGGTATGCCAATAATAGGTGAATTGTTTAGATATTAATATAGTTTGGATTCAAATAACAATTGAGGATATTTAGTATCAGATCGTTCAATTTTGATTGCATAATCTAATCCATTGGCTGTGGCTGAATAGATTTCACCAAATGCTCCTGCTCCTAGTTTTTTGATAAGCTTATATTATCTAGGGAATAGGAGTAGGTTTACTTGTTTAAGAGGAATCCACTCATATCCTTAATAGTATATTCCATCGGTTAATTAATAATTAAATCATGGCTGAATTTTCGATTGAAAAAGTGTGTCAAGCAATCCAAGTTTTTAATTAAGGATAAGTTGAATAAGTTGATACATTTCTAAGAAGCTTCTCATAATCAAATGAAGCTTGGGCTATTTGCATTCAAATATTGTAATAAAATCCTG